CGATCTGACTAAGCTGAGTGTCTTTGCCTGCTCGTGTGACCTTGAAATCCATCGAGCTTGTCCCGTTGACTGTTCCGGCTATAACAACACTGCCCTTGGATTTGTGGATAGGAAGGGCTTCACCCGTGATCATACTTTCGTCGACATAGCTTTCGCCGCGAATGACAATACCATCTGCCGAGACTTTATCTCCGGGATGGAGCATCACAATGTCCCCGACTTCGATGAGCTCAGTAGGGATCAATTTTTGCCCAGGGCCCGAGGTCTCATGTGCGGGAGCCGAGTGTCCGTCCTCCGATGGTGAGATCTTAGTATCCCACTGCTCAGCCATTTTCTCTGCGGCGATAGGGTCATCGTAAATAGTAGTCATTGAAGGCGCCAAGGACATGAGTCGCGAAAGTGCAGCCGAAGTTTGACCTTTAGCTCTGTTTTCCAACCATCTTCCCAGCGTGATAAATGTGATAAGCATCGTGCTTGTGTCAAAGACCGTGCTAGGCCTCGAGTGACCACTCGAAAACATCGCGACGATCATGGTGAAAATGCTGTAGAAAAATGCCGCAGATGTACCCAACATGACCAGAACATCCATGGTCGGTGACCGATGTTTGAGAGACTTATAGCTGGCCACATAAAAGCGCTTTCCAATGCCGAACTGGACAGGAATAGTAAGTAAAAGGCAAGTGACGTCACCCAAGTAGAGACCGCAGAAGAGCGGGACACGGCCGATATCAATTGCGGGAAAGTACATGGGGAGAATCATGTTGATGAGAAAGACCGGTACGGCGAAGGAGGCGGAGAAGAGGAACGCACGTTTCCACTCCTGGACCTCCTTGGTTTTCGAGAGCGAATCGAGTTGCGCATTCGTATCGTCTGACTGCAACACCAAGGCATTGTATCCAGCCGCCTCGATAGCTTCGACGATAGATCGAACACCGAGCATGGAGGAATCGAAGGATACATTGATTCGGGAGGAAGCCATGTCAACTGAGGCTGAAGACACGCCATTTCTTCGGAGGAGGTCATCCTCCAAGCACGCTGCTGAGGCAGCATCGCGCACACCGTGAAGACTAAGGGTGACTTGGCCGACACCCTTCGACGAGAGGTTTTGCGCTTCGGAAGATACTATCGCTGTATCGAAACCCGCATCGTCGATAGTATTAAGAATCGTCTGAACTGGTAGAATAGATGGGTCGTGGACAATAATCGCTCGTTCCGCAAGTAAACTGATATTGAACTGCACCAATCCATCCACTCCGTTGAACGCATTTTGTATGCTCGCTGTGCATGCACCGCATGTCATGCCGTCTATGGATACCGTGGTGACCATTGGAGAGGACTTTGATCCCGTCAAGTCCTGTGAAGATTGAGAGCTATCCTGAGCCGTGGAAGTTTCCAGCACCTTTGCACCAAAGCCACGGTCTTCGATCAGTTCCGCAATTTGATCCGGGGTGATCACCGAGGCATCGTGTTCAATTACGGCGCGCTCCGAGAGTAGAGACACGCTGACTGACTGGATACCCGATGCCTCTTTCAGCCCTCCCTCGACCGCGGATGTGCAAGCCCCACAGGTCATGCCTTCTACTGCCAGGGTCGTGGTCGATATGGAGGATTTCGCCGTGTTTTCGGTTGGTAGGGATGAGCTGTCCGTAGAGATGACCTTGGCATCAAAACCGCTATCATCGATAATTTCGGCGATCTTCCCCGGTGGGAGCAAGCTCGCATCGTGATGTACAACGGCGCGGCCCATCATCAAGCTCACGGTCACGTCGCCGGCGCCTTCCACTCCCTTGAAGGCACCTTCGACAGCAGAGGTGCAGGCGCCACACGTCATACCCTCTACACTGACCGTAGTGGTGGCCATATGAGCGGGCGATCGATCGTTAAGAGAGCCATGGTCTCCGGCGCGAAGCAAAGCGGTTGATGAGGCCGCCATGTCGCACGGATTTGGTGGTGGTGACAACCAGGCGAAGGAAGATTGTCGGCCGGCGGCAGTGTTATCGCATAAGAACGTGGTTTAGACGGGGAGGGAGGAGGTGCTGACGGGGCGGGCGTTCGGGGGGGTAATATATTAGTAGCAGTAGGGTAGCAGTAGACTACCGGAGGGAACCGCAGGGTGTCATGCAAGGATCGCTGGAGACTTGGCTATTGATCATGTAATAATAAGACGGATTTATATTGAGACTAGAAAAGTAGTACCAATAATGGAGCCAGTGCTAAAACCGGATGGGGCCGGAAGAGACAGATTTGGGGATTTTTTGCTGGCTGTTAAAGAAGAGGAGGAGGAAGAAGAAGAAGAAGAAGAAGAAGAAGAAGAAGAAGAAGAAGAAGAAGAAGACCGGGCGCTGCAGAGTGCAGTCAGTCAGTGTGGTCACTGTGGTGGACGCAAGCTCCCCGAATTCATCACTCAATAAAAGAATAGAATAATAGCACAAACAATCTTCTCGCAAAGGAATGCCAGGGTAGGCAATTAACGCCGGTTAGGGATTGGACAAAGAGTGGGCAAAGTGGTCCATGTTTTTGTCTTTTTTGTCTTTTTTGTCTTTCTTTCCTTTTCGTAATTGTTCTGGACAATAACAATGAGGGAATCCAATGGAGAAACCCACTTGGTGAGTTGATCGAGGAAAATTACCTCCGATTTCTCTCCACTTTCGAGGAATGCCCGGCCCCGCTTACGTGTGAAAAAGTCCCCATGCTCTACGCCCATTCGTGTACGGTGTCGTCGGCAGTCGGCACTGCTACAAAACTATTATCACTTCATGAACATCGTCTTAATCCTAGTGAATTCCGTCCGGGATCTCTCCATAACATCGTGTCTGGATGTCAATATGGACTGAACAACCGAGGCTTCAGGCTGGTCAGACAAGTCTCATCCCGGAACACAAGAAATGGTCAGGATCAGCCCTGCATGCCAGTCTGCAAGGAGAGTTCCGTTTCTGGAATCAGCTTTCTTTGAATTCAGAAGTAGACTTGACAGTCATCGAGCAATTCGAGCACCTGGAGAAGCTCAACACCACCACGACCCGTTGTATTCCGAGTTGGAAATCATCTTTGCGTAACGGGAGATCGGTTGGCGGCCGTCGGACTCCGCAGACCAGGTAGCTAGGTGTTAAGTCATGGCAATCCACTTCATTGAGAGACGAACAATGCTGTGTGCAGACTTGGCTGAGACACCTGGGCCACCTTGAATGATATTGTGCTCTTGCGAACGCTCTTTGAAGTATCGAGACCGTTAGATCTAGACAACCTGTCATGCTTAGCTGTCAAGAAAAGACTTCTGGGGTTGAAACATCGGGTGGCTCTGACGTTTCAACTATAGAGCTGTAGCTCCTGGATGGTTCCAGACTTGAGATTGCAGTGGTTCTCAATAGATGAAGGTCGACCAGAGCCTCACCTCAGTCGAAACGCCCATTGAAGCGAGATACTCCGAGGCAGTCCTGACAAGAACGATAGCAAATTGGAGAGTCGAAACTGGAGACCGCAGGATGTTTAGATGCGATGCCTGTGTTGGAGAGTCCCGGAATCACATGGCCGGATCTCACTCCCACCATGTTTGCATCGCAGACAAACACCGCCATAACATCCACCCATCATCGGTCATCGATTCAGCGATTCATCCCACCTACCGCTGACAATTACAGCCACCTCCGAGCTGAGTTTCCACTATACCTGCTCATCAGCACTTGCAGAATCTGCAGAAACAACCATCTGAGGGTTACATTCAGTTTCCTGAATTCATCACCATCGGCCTTGACAGCCAAGTCAATCGGAAGGGTGTGATATCGAGCAGGCCGACAGACAGCATGGACCAAATCCACACCCGGGCCATCGAGGCACTCCAGCCGTTCATCGCTCTCGCCAATTCGTCCAGTGCAAATTCCCCTCGCTTTGTCGCCAATATCATCACAAATGCAACCTCCAACGCACATACGTTCGTGTTCGCGGAGCTCCTGGAGACGGCGGCAGTCCAGGCCCTCCGCTCCCCGGACACCCCAGCAGAATACCAGAGCTACCTGACATTGCTTGAGATCTTCGCCTGGGGCACATGGCAAGACTACCAAGGTGAGTATCTCTAACATATTCCCTTTACAAATCTGGGTCACCGACGACACAACGCAAACGCAATGCAATGCTCACACGTCAGTCACCCACCCAGAAACACCCAACCTGCCCGCTCTCAGCCCGGCCCAGACACTCAAACTCCGCCTCCTCACACTCCTCACCCTCTCTTCCACCATCCAACCCCTCACCTACACCGCCCTCATGGGCGCTCTCTCCATCACCGCCCCCGCCGACCTTGAATCCCTCGTCACAACGGCCATCTACTCCTCCCTGATCACAGCCCGCCTCTCGCCGGCCTCGATCCCTCCGACCGTCAACGTCACCGCCATCGCCCCGCTCCGCGACGTCAAGCCCCAGTCGCTCGCGAACATGATCACCATCCTTACGCAATGGGAGACCCGCTGCGGCGACGTCATCAGCGACATCGAGGCCGAGATCGCCAAGATCAAGTCCGAGTCGGCGAAGCGGCGGGCCAAGGAGCATGAGCGTAACGTGATCTTTGAACAGACGCTGGCCGCGTACCGGGCGGAGGCCGCTAGTGCTGCCGGTGGAGGCGAGGGAAACGTGGCGGGCGGGGCGCGGAAACACTGGGGCCAGCAGCCGCAGCAGGCCTTCCGAGGTGGTGGCCTCGGCGGCAACAAGCGTGAGTTCAGTGCGGACGAACTGGATGATGATGACGGGTACTGGGAACATGGGAACGACTACGATAGTATTCAGGCTTTAGGGGGGTCGAGGATGGACATTGACGAAGGGCCCGGCTCGGGGAGAGCGGCGGGGTCGGGAGTGGCCGGGGCCCGACATCCTAAGCGCATCTTGGGGAAGAAGTCGTAAGGGTGCTTTCCTGCTAGCACGAGAGGTATGTGTTGGGTCGAACTTTTAGGTTTGAAAGTATTGATCTCGCCCTGCTTATGCATCGATCCCATCATATTGCATGAATATGACCATCCCATTCTAAAAGACACAGAATTACAGCGACGGGGCCATCCAAGGTTCAATAGACTTAACCTTCTGTGAATTATGTCCACATTCGACACGAAAAACAAGACAAAAAAGTGCAAGAGAAAGCAACGCTCCATGTTCTCATAACTTTGGGTATTCGTTCATCACGCGCAAAACCAAACGCCAATTAGCAACGCCTACACACCAAAAGACCACAGTCACTTGCTCAGTGGTTCTCGGCCAGATGCTAGAGTAATGTCAGCGCCTAAGTGTCCGTAGCCCATGCAAGACGCAGAGGAAGGAGACTACTTACCGACCACTCCGGAATGTTCCGTATCTGCTGCCACATGAACTTCTCCAGCTTGTTGGCACTCTTGGCATACGGCGTGTTCTCATTGTTGTACCTTCGGCAGTTGTCGAAGATCAACATGGCATCCTTGATGAAGTCCTGCGGTGTCGGGTACATATCCTTCTCGTGCTTCTCTTCCATCGTCGACAGATCCATGGGTTCTTTAATGACTTCGTAGTAATCCGGCACTTCGTCTCGGTTGACCGGTTGCGTGAATGGCCACGCGGCACTGTGGTTTTGCATATCGTTGAGCAGATGCAGGAGCTGATTGTAGTTCGGCCCGTGGCGGGGCTGGCGGGCCAATTCATCCATATCGGGCGACCATCCCGACTCTTTGATAGCTGGGATCAGCAAGGGGTCGATCTTGCATGCTCCGTTTTTCCACTCCTTGGGGGGTGCATGGATTATGTGTGACCGACTGAACGCCCGGATCTTCGCATGGACCGCCTCCTTCTGTTTGAGAAGCATGCGGCCAACCTCGAGATAGCGTATCGTGGGCAGCATGGTACACTGCATGATTGTTCCTCCCTCGTAATCCTTGATGTATCCCATCCAGACAGACTTATCAAGCGTGATCTCTTTTGTGAAACCCTGCTTCTTGAAGTATCCGATAGCGTAGTTATCAGCGTAGGTTAGGAAATGCATGATGTCCGATGTCGCCTTGACGTAATCCTGTATAACACATCAATAGCTGTTTTTCTCACTAGGAAGATTGCAAACTGACTTTCAAGTGGGACATGAGATGCGCACCATATCCTTTAACTTGCTGATCAGAAGAGATAGCACAGAAGACGATCTCAGCGAATCGGCGACCGTTGAACGGGCGGTATGTGATGCCTCTGCATGCCCCATTAGCATAGTCCGATACCCAACTTTACCTTCCCATCACACATATACGCACCCGACCACTTCCAAGGGATGCTTGACGATTGCGATAGACAGATGCGACCGGTCGTAGACTAAGCGCGCGATATAGTCCTTGGGCATTTTTGGGAGTTGTTTCTGGAAAATACACTTGAGGCCGGTGAGGACGACGAAACTGTCGCGCGAGCCATCATTGTTGACCACACGAAACTCGATCTCGCCACGACGCTCTTCGAGTACTGCCGGCTATTATGGTTTGGAGTGGTTAGTCTCATTCATACCCGGGGCGGAGGTGCTGCGCAAGCTTACCTTCTCCGGGAACGGGACAATCCTCATGGGCGGCTTATCGAGGGGTTCATCTTCTGTCTGAAAACGAAAGGATTAGTGCGGTGTTATCTCCCCAGCATTCTGATTTTGACATGCCCACCTTGAGCTCGTCCCCCGGGGAATCAGTGCGCGCTTTCTTGCTCCGTTGCTGCGACTCTGGGGAAAGGGCCTCCTCCGAAGCTTTCCGCTTGGTACCTGGACCTCAACCTAGATTAGTAACGTTCCTGGCTGGCTGTCTGGCTGCAAACTTGACTCACTCTCCGATGTAAGTGCCGGCATATTGTAAATTGTGACTGATTCCAGAACCGAGACTCTGAGCGAGTGACTGATTGACATGGCCTGGAGCTGAGGCAAGCAGCGCGCGGGCGTCTGTCTCTCTCTCCACCTCCCGATACGGGGAACGGGCCCGGAACTATATTGATCCGGCGCAGACAAGCCAGATAACCATTTCGATTACAACAACAGCTAGTTGACTTACGTTGCCAGCACTCTATATCAAAGCCATCTTCTCTTCTGGTTCAATTTGTGAAGCGTTTCTCTTGTTCCTAACAAATCCTTTCCCTACTCAATCGTTCTTTTCGTCACGCCTCAATGTCTCTGAACCAAGTCTGGGAGGCAGCTTCTGCGAGCCCTTACTCTCCCCTTATCGCGAAAGATAGCCAGTTCTTCGTCGGCTTTAGTCTCCTGCTCGCTGGTAAGCTCAACCTGTCACTTGTCGCTATTATACTGTCCGGCTACTGACTTTTGACTCACCAGCCTTTATACTTACTGGTCTCTTTGGATTGAGTCAGTCACCAACCCAACAAGATCTGAATTTGACCTTCTTCTCGCCCTATGCTTACCAATCGATCAGACCGTTCATTCACCAGCATTGCACTATTCGGCGTCCCAGCATCGCTGGCCTTTGGGTAAGAACACGCCTGCGGTCCCACCAAAGCGGTCATGACTAACGTCCGTGGAACAGCTTCGGAGCCGTCTATATGATCTGTGCCGTTGGAGTTTACGTTTAAAGTTCCAGTTACCTCCTCTGATACCCATGTACCATATACTGGAAAGTTGAGAACACAAGAAAAACGAAGCATATAACTACACCACCTTTGTCTCCCTCTCATTGCACTCCTCATATAACCTAATCCACAACCACATCGTACCGCTGCCACCGCGCTCAGTCCGAGCAGACAACCATGGTGGACGTGGAACCCATCTTCACCGCGGTCTCCAGCAACGCCCACCACCTCTACACTCTCCTTCAATGCATCGGATTCGCACCCAAGGCCTCGGTGCAGCTCACGCCCGATGGCATCCGCTTCTCCGTGGAAGAAACCCGAACGGTGCAGGGGCTTGCATTCCTCGACAAAGCCCTCTTCACCAGCTACACCTTCAATCCACCACCACCACCACCACCACCACCACCACGAGCCGCTGCTCCCACCCCCGACGAGCATAACCACGATGACACCGATTCCCCCACCACCGACCCAACACCCTACTACCCCTGCTTCGAAATCTCCCTGACCGCCCTCCTCGAAACCCTCAAGATCATCGGCATCAACGACAGCTCCACCACATCCGGCGGCAGCGGCTCCTCCCGCGCCGGCAGCGTGCAACCGGGCCCCTCCCACAGCGCCTTCACCACCCCCGCCCTCCTCCTCGACCGCTCCTGCACCCTCCGCTACGACACAGAAGGCAGCCCGCTGAGCATCACGCTCACCGAGACGGGCATCAAGACCATCTGTGAATTGACCACGTACGAGCCCGAAGGCGGCGAGGTCGAGATCCCGCTGCAGCGCGACGCGATCATCATGAAGATCATCATGCGGTCGGCCTGGCTGCACAACGCCATCACCGAGCTGGCGGCCACGAACCCGGCCACCCTCCGGATCTCGGCCTCCGCCACCCAGGAGCCGTTCTTCGCCTTGTCCGGCGCCGGCGGCTCGTTCAGCGAGTCCTCCGTCGAATTCTCCGTCGAGAATCAGACCCCCACCATCGCCTCCGGTGCCGCGGCTAATGATGGCCATGACGAAGGTGCCTCCCGCGCCAAAAGAGCCCGCCTCGCCCCGACAGTCACCGAGACCTTTTTGGTGAGCCCCCTGTCGTCATCGTCGTCGGGGGGCTCGCGCATCCGACAGGATTACAGGTTCAAGGCGGTTCAGAAAGCGAGCCGCGCGATGGCGGTGGCCAATAAGGTCAGTATCCGGGGCGATCGGCAGGGGGTGCTGAGCTTGCAGTTCATGATCGAGTCCGATGTCCATGCTGGGAATATCAGTGGGGCCAAGTTGTCGGCCAGAGGGGGGTTGGCGCCCGTGGTCAGTTTCGTGGATTTTCGGTTCGTGCCGTTGCTGGATGATGAGGAGGTTCTTTGATGGGAATGGGACGTTTCCCCCTTGTTGCTTGTGTGTTGTCCAGCGTTCTTGACGAAAGAATAGTGTGAAGGAAATACCGATGATGTAAATGAACTGCAATTTTTCCCTCTTACGCCGGCATATGCTTTCTGCTAATGTATGCGTATGATGTACATAAAGTAAGCTAATGTACCACCTTTGATCCTCTGTTTAAAACTGAAGAGCAACCCCTATCCTCGTAACAACCATGCCATGCGTAAGAGCGTCGAATCTGCCCACGAAGCAACTGACATAAAGTCACAATTACATAACCTACGTCCGTTAGCATTGTTCGTCGGACCAGGTTAAGCGTTGCAACATACCTCAGCGATCGACTGTCGCTCAATGATGGACTTCTGTCGCTCGTTCCGCGAAACCCGGTAGTAGTAATCACTGAAATCGCCGCACTGCATGTGGCGCAGGAACTCTTCGTCGTGGGTGATGACGATCAGCTGGAAGTTGGCCTGCTGCTGGCGGGTGCGGATGATGTCGTGGAGGGACGCGGCCAGCGAGCGGATGTTGTCGCGGTCCAGGTTGGTGGTGGGCTCGTCGAGGGCGATCAGGCCGCAGTTGACGCCGAAGCACTCGGCCAAGGCGAGCCGGATGATGATGCTGGCCAGCACCTTCTGGCCGGCACTGCAGCGGCCGCGCATGTCCATCTCGGCGCCCTGCTTGACCATGCAGACGCGGTAGTTGTACGAGCGGTTGCCCTTGGCGTTCTCATTGTCGGAGCGGATGAGGATGGTGTCGACGTCCGTGCCGCGGTAGGTCTTCTGCCAGAGCTCGCCGACGATGGCGTTGATCTCCTCCATCTTCAGGCCGTGGTACTTCATGATGGCCTTGTCGAGGGCGCCGCCGTAGCGCGCCAGGTCGTCGACCGCCGCCCGCGTCGTCTCGACCTTGATGTGCGCCTCCTTGTACTTGCTGGCCGCGTTCTTGTAGTCCGTGTCCCAGTCCGCGAGCAGCTGCATCAGCTGGTCGTCCTTGGACTTCATCTCGCCCATCTTGCTCGCTTGCTTGGCCGCCAGGGCGTTGTGCTCGCGCGTGCGCCGCTCGGATTCCTCTTTGAAGCGGCTGCGGTCGACCTCGGCGTTCTGCGCGGCGAGTTGCTCGATCTCGCCATTGACTTTGTCCAGGGCTCGGGTCGCCTGGCGGTACGTCAGGTTGTCGGCGTACTGGCGCTTGGTGTTTTCGCTGTCTTTGAGCTGGGCTGAGATCCGGTTAATCTCTTTCGTGATCGTGGCCTGTTCGGATTCAAGCTCGCTGATCTCGTTCTCAATGGTCTGGAGTTCTCGTTTGCTTCGCTCAAGCTGAGTAGGACCTCCTCGCTCGTTGTAGGCATCGATCTCCTCGTTTGCGACTTCCAGCTGATGTACGCTATCGGACAGCTGGGAAATCCCCTGCTGCAACTCCCTTTCGCGAGCCTCGGCGCGTTGACTGATGTCGTCGACCTGGGCTTGGATCTTGAGTAGTTCCGGAGTAAGATCCTCAATGTCCTTGTCCGCCTTCGCAATCGCGGCACGCTGTTCGTTGTTGAGGTTCTTGAATTCTGCCAGGCGAGTGAGAAGATCTGCCTTCCGTTCGAGCTGGAACTTGGCGTTATCCAGATTGCTCCTCGCGTCTCTGAGCTGCAGTTCCAGATTGTTGATCTCCGCTAACGCCTGCTCCTTTTCATGGGTGAGTTTTGATAGTGTCTTCTTCAGAGCGCGGGACCGTTCGCCAATCCCAGCAATTTCTTCCTGGATATCCTCCAGAGTGCGTGAACCAGTGTCGTCATCTTGTTTTGAAGAAAGTTCTTGTATCTGAGAGCGAATAGACTTGATTTCGCTGTCGTACTTAACGATAGTGCTGACAGTCTTGGAGAGTGCTTCGACCTCTTTCTTCTTCTCGGTCTTCTCGTTGAGTATCTGATCGTGTTCCTCCAGTTGATTGAGGAGCTTGTCCTGTTGGAGAACATATTGCTCTTCTTCCTTCTCCAGACTCGGGATTTCTGTTTCTTTCAATCGTGTCCACGTGTTGTAGGCGGTGATAGCTTCACGCGCAGTATTGAGGTCTTCCTCCAATTGTCGGATATCTTCGTCTTCGGCGTTCCGTTGGTTTCTCTTGACCAAGCCCTCAAGCTTGTTGATGAAGATCTGCAGTTGTCTGTCTGCTTCGAACCCCCGCTGGCACAATCGGCAAACCTTCGTTGACTTCGCCGTGGCAAGACAGTCTTTCATGTACGTACTGATACCAGCAAACTGCTCCGTATCTTTCCGCGCAAGATCAAGCTGGATCTGCCGCTCTTTGACGATCTCAAGATATTCCTCGGGTTCTTCGCCAATGGCTTCACGGATCTCTGTGACGCTCTCCTTGAGTTCTTTCTGCCGCTGACCCAAGGCTTTCTTCCCTTCTTTCAGCTTGAACTCTACTTGTTCCAGCTCGCGGCTGACGCCGTCGCGTTCACGCTCCGCCTTCGAGACGTGTCTTGACTCTTCCTCCAGAACATGCTGAAAGTCTTGCTCCAGGGTTTCGGCGCTCCAAGTGGGTTTGACGTATTTGGAGAGTCGTTCGCCATGAGCCCCTTTCATGGTTTCCAGACTGCGCCCCCTTTCCTTCAGTTCCTTCTTGAGGTGGTCTAGCCGGGCGAGATCACCAGCCTTCTTAGTGGCCTCGATGAGTTCAGTGTTCAGGCGAGAGCTTTCGTCCTCGAGGCTGCGGATCTCCGAGTTGATGTTCTGGATCTCTTTATCCCACGAAGCGGATCGTGAGCGTTCCTTTGTCTGATCCAAGCGAGAACTGATGTCTTCAATGTTCGTCTCCAGCGCAGCCTGCACGCCCTCATCGACATTGATCTCGTTGAGCTTTGCTTGATAGGAAGCCGCGTCTCTGTCGTTTAAAGCCATCTGTCGCTTGGCCGCGATCTTACTTTCCTGCAGTGCAGATTTGCGTTGTCCCAGCTGATTCAGGGAGCCTTGAGCGTCACGCAGCTCGCTTTGTGCCTCGCGCTTGACTCGCTCCAGAACCTGGTTCTGCTCTTTGAGGATCTTTCTGATTCTCCGCATGAACTCGTCGACATCTGCCTGGTCCGCCACGTTGTCGAACCCGCGGATGCTGTGGCTCCGCGCAATCTCTCGCGTCATGCGCTGTCGCCTTTCGACCTGGCGCTCGAAGTTCGCCTTGTCGTTCTCGAACTTCCCGTACTCGGCCTGCTTGAGACCCAGCTTCTGCCGCGCGTTCTCGATCTGCTCCTTGATCTCCATGTAGTTCTCCTTCTGAGATTCCTCCTGCTGCTGGTACTGCAGCTGCTTGGTCTCAAACTGCTCCAGGTTCGACTCCAGCCATTCATCTGAATCGTCAAGCTCCACCAGATGACGCTGCAGGTTATCGAGCGTCGTCTGGATGCTCTTCGCCTCTATGCGCTTGCCCTCTAGCGCGCCCAAGATCTGGGAGTAGCTTTCCGATTCCTTCCACGCCTTGTCCGCCAGGTCGGCGACGCGGCGCATCTCCTGAGAGAGCTGCTGGGTCTCGGCACGCAGGTCCTCGATCTCGTCCTGCAGCTTGATGGAGCGCTTCTCGGCGCGGTCGGCTTTCTCCTTGTCCTCCTTGGCGTGCTGCTCCATGATCTTGTACTTGGCCAGCTCCTCGTTCTGCTTCTTGCGCAGCTGCTTGATGTTGTCGATCGCCTTGGTGTACTTCATCGCCTCGAAGATCTCGTCGAACTTCTTCTTGAGCACGGACGGCTCGCTCATAGGCCACAGGCTCTCGTCCTGGTGGCAGAAGATGACCGAGTCGAGGATCGCCTTCGACACCCCCAGGTACTGCGGCAGGATCTGGTCCAGCTCCGCCACCCGCGACGAGATGGCCGTCCGCTCGCCGTCCTTGACCATCAGCAGCTGGCCCTCCAGCGTCTTCTGCTGCCGCGTGGTCTTCTTCACCGTCAGCTGGAGACTCCGCGTCGCCACCATCTTGGCGCCCGAGGTCGCTTTGAAGGACAGCTTGACCTGCGCCAGCACCTCCTTTTCGCCGCACAACTATTCCGCCACGATCATCGTCAGCAGTCACCCTCTCGGGAATCTAGTCCATTCTAACAACCCGTACCTTCGGATCGTGGATGAATGCACCACCCTTGCTGTTCGGCGGAAGATCACCGGTGGTCGCATACTTGAGACATTCAATAATCGTCTAACATCACATCAGCCTCACAGCCATCATCCCATCAGACACAAATTCGTCATACCGTCTTTCCCGAACCATTATACCCAACAATTAACGTAAGCGGCGTATGAAACTGGATAGTCTCGCTGCGGGTATTATCGAACGAGCGGACACTATCCAGCAAAAGCAACACCCAGTCAGTCAACGACTCAAAAACAAAAAAAAAAAATAGGACATGGCGAACGAGACACCCCAACCGAACAAAAGAACAGAACATACCCCAGAATCGAAAGCTTATCTATCTTCGCTTTTATTTCCAACGTATGCAAAAGTCAGCTTCAGCTTCAACGACTTGGCTCCAAGATCTAGCTCTCCGCGGCAACTTACACCTGCAGACAGACTCGGGGTTAGTATGCACAAGAAAAGCCCCCCCCTCCTAAAAGCTGCAAGGGCTCCTTCGCAAGCAAGTTTGAACTCACATCTTGGGCTGTCTACGAGAGCCGTTAAACAGCCTGATGGCATCAAGGTTGGAGAATTGACGGGGCACTTTTGACTGTTCACAAAGTACGCCGGATTCCCGTCATGGAGAGCCCGGACCCAACCCAGCCCAGCCATTGATAAGAAGAAGCGCGTCGGCGGGACGCGGGGAAGACGGCGCGCGGTCACGTGCATAGGCACCCACTCTACTCTAGTAGTATACAACGTCTGTACTGTGTTAATTACGACTCCGTAGCTACTTCAAATCGTATCTGTGCAGCTATGACGATTGCATATCAGCTTGAAGTCGCCTTAGAATAGGGTCCAGCTCAGTAATAAACAGATACAATTAAAATCCTAATTTGAGAAGAACGTCGCTCAGGGATCAATCAACTAGCTTTCCCTAGGAGTTGATCACTGGGGTCTCATGTAAGCTTTTACTGGCATGAGCGCGTACTGGTATTAGTGTATGTGCATTCTTATAATAGCCTGAATGTATCTTCTTCCGTTTAACATAAACCAAACAATACACCCGACAACTCATGGCCTGCACTTGCCGGGTCACCTTCGTACATTCAAGTCCATCCCGATCTTGCTTTGTATGCTGTGTCATTTACACCCCACTAAATCCCCAATCTGTCAAGCCGGCTCTCCAAATCCCTGACCCACGGCTCCACGGTCTCAATGTTATTCTTCAGCGCCGCTTCGCCCTGCTTCATCTTCTCCTCTACTACCCGAAGCCCCTCGCGCCACTGCTCAATCTCCCGAGCCATATCGGCTTGTCGCTTTTCCAACACATCTAACGATTCCGAGGCGTGGGCGGCCCCGGCGTGGATGGCGCGCAGTGAGCGCAGTCGTTCGAGGACGCTGGGGAGAATCGGATGGAGGGACTGGATGGTGGGGAGAGTAGCATAGAGAGCCTGGATCTTGGTGGCTTGCTCGTCGCGCTGAGTGGCGGCGGGATCGACTTCCGTGGCGGACGACGATGAAACCGACATGTCGGAGGGCTCGAGAGCCGTGGAGGAGATACGGGCGTTTTGGGCCGCTTTAGCGGCGTCGACGGCGCGCTTACGGGCGGTGGCCAGGGCCTCCGTGTCGGCGGTGAGTTTGCGCACACGGCTGGAGAGGGACTCGAGATGAGGCGTGGTGACGGTCGTGGCTGGGGGAGCTGAGCCCATGGTTGGGAAGGCGGAGACGGGGTTCGGGCCGACGAGGAGGTTCATCAGCGTGGCGAGGCGAGAGGTGAGGTGGTCGAGCGCAGGAAGAACCGGTTGGAGGTCAGGTTCAGAGATGCCATCGTTGACAAAGGGATTCGAGGAGCTGGAGATTCCCATGGCCGCTTCAATGAGAGCCAGTCGCCCATCGAACGAGGCCGCGTGAGCGAGGACACCACCGCCGGTCGCGGACGGGGACGGGGGTGTTTGTGGGCGATTGTTGGTGGGCTTACGATCGTCCAGCTGAGCGGGGTTGCTGACCGGGGAATCTGGTGTGGAGGTGGAGGCGAGCTTTTGAGACAGGACAGCTGCGGCCGAGTGGGAGCCGGAGGGGCCACTGCGCGAGGATGCGTATAGATTGTCCAATGCGCGACTCAGTTCCAGCACACCATCTGTTCCATCTGTTCCAGGCTTGCTCAGAGCGGCTGTCTCTGCAGACTCAGTACTAGATTGTTGCGTTGCCAGCTGATCTTTCAATTCCTCGACTTCGCGGCGCAGACGAGCCAGCTTACGCTCCACACTTTCGTCTTCACTGTCGCTGAGATCATCGAGGTCGTCGGCCCCAAGGTCGTGTTTCCGTCGCCGACGACTCTTGCTTCTGTATGCTTTTCGTTTCACGGCTATGCTGTCTGAGAAATTGGCTTCGCGGGCGTCGACGGTGGCACCGAGGAAGTGGGCGCGCGCCTCGTCGGCGTTGATACCTTGGCGATCGATATCAGAGTTGTCGCCAGCATCGTCGTCTACGTTGGAGGCGGTGCGAAGAGTTGTGGTCTGTTCGCCGATAAGCTGTCAGAATGGGGAAGGACACCCGCGCGAACAATAGACATGGCAGCGAACCGGGATAGTAGAAGCTCCGTCGGTCAGATCGGGAGTCTCGTAGATATCGGGAGCGAGATCCTGCACGTCGTTGTTAGATTTTAGTCCGGCCGGACTGCTGCAAATGGAGATATGCTGACCAGATCAGGAAGACCGGCGTATTTCCGGTTGAAAGACATGGCGTCCAGCTATCTGAGCGAGTGCGAAAATCGATACTGTTGCGGGGAAAGGCTGGAGATGAAGTATCTCAAGAGGAAAGTGAAGGGGAATGTTTGTTCACGTGCCAGGGGCGGGTCAATACTGTACATTACGCAGAGCCATACATGCAGTCCGGTACGACGATACACCACGGTAACTTACAGTACATACATCAACAACAATCGAAACAATATTCATGACATTATTGACTATCAAAAGGCAAGGGTGATCAGAGCGTCATTCTTCGGCGGCTAGAATTACTCCGCAACACATGTTTCGCAGACCGGACTTTGCTCACGCCAACCTCGGCCGCAATTGCCCCATTTTAATCAACTAGAGGGAAATGGCATTGAATCGAGGCTGCAGGGAAGCGACGATCACATGAAGGGGCCGATTGACCCTCTTCAACACTACTTGGCCGAAATGTAGTACCCTTTAAAGCGTCCTTGTCCCACCCGTCAACTTGCTCCTTCAATCCTGCACTATTCCCTCGCTTAATCCTCGAGACCTGTTCTGCTGTCAGAGAGAATATATCAATTCTTCTTCTCTTCTCTATCCTTACTCCTCGGTAGCATATCTTAGATCCTTCCCTCATTTCGAGTGAAATCTTACCCCTCATCACCGAAAATGGCCGCCCCCGCAGAAGTCACCATCAAGAATCTCAGTGGAGAATGGACAATGGTACGCTGGATATGATATGATGCTTCATCGCTAGCTAGAGAAACGCTCCATCACTAACGAACCCTCTGCAGAACAAAACCCTGTCCAACCCTACAGACGCAATCCTGTCACTGGTATGAACATCTCACTTCTACCTCGGTAGCTCATTCCCCGCCCTCCAGCCCCAAGACTAACCAGTTCCTACACAGCAAGGAATGAGCTGGCTCACTCGAAAAGCCCTCAACCTCGCCACCATCACCCTTCACATCGACACCTACCCGGACCCAGAGGACTCTGCCATCATCCACATCAAGATCGACCAGACCTTGACGGGCGGCATCAAGGGAACCAGCGAGAACCGCATCAGCGACGGCAAGAAGCGCGAACACACCGACCACATCTTCGGCCATGTGCAGGGCCAATCGCGGTACATCCGCGGCAGCAGCAGCAGTGACGGCAAAGCCCGCCCCAACTTCGCGTTCCTGACCAAGAGCGAGGATCCCAAGGTGGCTCAGTTCCTAAACGGAGAGATCCTGGCGGACGGGAAGGCTGTGGATGGATTCGTGGTTGAGGATCTAGGCCAGGAGTTTGGCGACGGTGAGGGTCTCTGGTTCCAGAGCTTTGTGGAGAGCCTGGACAACGGATGGACGGCAGAGCAGGTTCGTATTTTCTCCCCTTTCACTAATCGATATTGATGGTGTGGGGCGTATCTCGTATCGATGCAGACGCTGACTGAAGTGCTGGTAGATCTGGGGCTTTGAGGTGATCGATGGGCAACGCTACTACACCCGTCGCGTAGTGGTTGCAAAGGATAAGCACGTCGAGATGGCCAGGTTCGTGTATAGTTACGTGGATCCGAAGAAGGAGTGAATTATCGTCCATCAAGAAGTGGGCTACGCTGTGGACTGGGCGGGAGAATGATCGATAGGAGTGCTCTGTGCCTATCATCTTTATGTGGCAGGTCTACTGTAAAGTATTATTACTTCCCGCTCGTTCAGTATTCGACCAGACTCGCCGTCTTCTATAGACCTAATTGAATCTTATTGATACCAAACTTCATGCACTTGTTTAGAGGAATCGATGCGGTTCACGGAGATGAAACTGAGATTACAGTACACAGACGCCTCCATCATCAGCAATCTGGTCACCAGCCGCCGTCAAGATGCTGGCATGAGCCCCCTCCTCAGAGATCCAATTTAGAGAACAATGATATTAACAAGGCTAATTCTGCAAGCCAGCGTGAAAGCAAACACCGCATATAGGCATGATGCAACGTTGAAAGTATTTTTGATTCTATTCAATTTTTTCCTTGTTTTCATCGACCTTACGAGTGTGTGGGCATCACGACATGGGCCTTGGTGCTGATCGCATCCTCGCTGCGCCACAGACTCGTCACGGTCTTCTGCTGGGTGTAGAATTGCAAACCAGGCTTGCCGTAGAAGGTGTTGGCACCGCCACCGGCAATACTCTTCTTGTTACCGGTGAAAGAGAACATGGGCAACGGGACAGGGATCGGCACGTTGATGCCGACCTGGCCGGCCTCAATGTCCTTTTGGAAGCGCGAGGCAGTCGGGCCAGAGCGGGTGAAGACAGCAGCGCCGTTGCCGTACGGGTTCTTGTTGATGAGCTCGATAGCGTCATCGAGCGTAGGCACCGACAGGCAGATCAGGACAGGACCGAAGATCTCCTCCGTGTAGCACTTCATCTCCGGGGTCACGTTGGTGATGATAGTAGGTCCAACCTGGGAGAGAGTCCATGAGTAAAAGTTCAATGCAGCACGTACGGAGACCACTTACAAAGTTGCCGTTGGGGTACTTCTCGGGCTTGTAGCCACGACCATCCAGCAGGATAGTGGCACCCTCTTCCTCAGCGCTGGCAATCAAATCCTCAATGCGCTTCTTGCTCTGAGGGCTAATGACTGGGCCCAGATCCGCACCCTCCTCGAAACCACCATTGACATTCAATGCCTTGGCCCGCTCAGCGATCTCGGGCAGCCATTCCTGGGTTTCGCCGACCATCACCACTGTGCTCAAGGCCATGCAGCGCTGACCAGCAGCACCGAAGGCAGCGCCAACAATAGCATTGAGGGTTTGGTTCTTGTTGCAGTCAGGCAAGACCGCGGCGTGGTTCTTCGCACCCAGATTGGCCTGGACACGTTTTCCATTTGCAGAACCCCGGGTGTAGATGTACTCACCGGCACGGTTACCGCCAACGAAGCTGATAGCCTTGATGGAAGGTTCATCGAGGATGAAATCAACCGTCTTGGCGGAGCCGTGCACGATGTTGACCACACCGGGTGGGAAACCAGCTTCCCGAGCCAGCTCGGCCAGAATCATAGCTGCGCCAGGGTCACGTTCGGAGGGCTTGAGAATCAAGCAATTACCGGTGATGGTGGCGACGGGGATCGACCAGAGGGGAATCATTGCGGGGAAGTCTGGAAACCTGCGGTTAGCCTCGGCAAATACCGCCGGTCGGGGAATATACTAACTGAAGGGACAGATGGCGGCCACAACACCCAGAGGCTCGCGGTAGCTTCGAGTCTCCATATCCTTGGCGACTTCGAGCACCTCGCCTGTCAATTGGGTGGTGATGCCACAGGCGGTTTCAGCAACTTGAAGACCACGGAGAACGTCGCCCTTGGCATCGGCAAAGGTCTTGCCCTGCTCAAGGGTGATAGAGGCAGCCAGGCGATCCCAGTGGGCCCGGATCAGGCTGACAAACTTGAACATGATCTGCTGTTTGGCGATCACGCTGGTCGCGCGCCAGGCGGGAAAGGCCTTCTGGGCGGACTCAACGGCAGCCTTTAGCTCCGCATCGGTACTCTGAGGCACACGAGTGATAAGGTTGTTGGTGGCTGGATCATGCAAGTCAATCCATGTGGTTGCTTGAGATTGTACAAACTCGTTGTCCAGAAAGTTGGTAGTATCAATGGGGTTCGCAACAGGGCTGTGATCAGTAGGATAGTCGGTGGCGGTAGAGGCCGCGGAGGTGGTTGCGGGGGACCGTTGCTGGGCTGTGACATGCAGACTGCGAGTGGCAGAAGGGGATGAAGATGCTAGAAGAGAAGAAGGAGCCATGGCAGCGGTGGAAAGGTGTCTGGAGAGTGAAGCTAGAGCTGCAGGCGTTCTGGTGGCGGATAATCTGGGGACGGTGAGGGCCGTGCGGGGAGCAGCAGCGCGGAGAGCGGGGAGAGAACGGGCAAGAGAGCGATGGGCGGCCATCATGAGAAGAAGGGAAGGAAACTTAGGAGTGAATGGGAACTGATTTATAAGGAATTAGGTCGTTGACAGCTCAGACGTGTGACAGCTCAGCGCGTGAGGAGAAGGAGGGGGAAAAGCTGCAGGAGGAAGAGGAGGGATAGCTAGGTACTTAATAATAGGTAAGTTGGAGTAAGTTTCCCCAGGTTTGACTCTCCGTTCCTGGCCGCCGAGGCTCCGTCACTGGGTCACTGGATCACAACAATCACTGATAATGAATGCGGTTATCGCCCTTCCTCGGCGTTGACCACCAATCATCTTGCCCCACGGAACGGCTTGCCAATCTGGTCATCTCTGCTTCGGTCATGGATCATCTCCATCCGATTTTCTATTAATGAACTGAATTCATTCATCCACTCCAGGTATACTACAATGATCTAGAAGAAATTTATTCTCATGGCTCATGAAACTAGGCAGGAATTTCCGATAGAAATTCTTTGCAATTATAACATCTAGTGGATTTAGTATCACCTCTTTTCCGCGGGCAGATGCCATCGTCGGAAGAGATTAAGATTTGAGCTCCCGATCTCATTCCTGAGACTTCTCACAACTCCAACCACAGGAAGATACTTGAAATCAATTACTTGAGCTAGGGACGATCATTAACCATATGATTGAAGTTCTTCCAGCAGGTACTCGTCAATTACTTTACAGGTCTCAAAACAATTCGAGGCAGGTCTCTCAAGTGTGGCGTTCATATCGCATCACAGGCGGGAGCAGCAACAGCCTTTCTTCTGGCTGTGGCCAACCAACATATTTGGAATAAAAGAACAAATCGTGGATTGAACGCTGCAACAGGTAGGTATAATATGGAAATCGAGAGAAAACAAAATATTGGGTCGGAAGCTGTTCCTCCCCACAGAATGCTCACTTTTGGGCCGCGTCATCTCTAATCTCTCCCCAGAGTCAACAAGGCAGGCCCGTTTACTCGGCAGAGGAGCGAGTCTGGCGCTTGGTGGCGCCGCCCTTGCCAGTGTTGGTAGCAGAGCTAACAGCCTCTGCAGCCTTCTCCTTGGCAGCGCTGGCAGCCTCCTTGCCCTTCTTGACCGGAGCGGGAGCCGGGCTGCTAGCACCGACAGCACCCACAATCAGGAGCACCATGGTGACAAGCACGGCGGCGAGACCACCAGCAACGTCAGGAACCTGCTTCACAGCAGCGATGGGGTCCTGCTTGGCCAGGCCAACGAAACGATCAACCTTCTCGCGGACGTGGGCCACAGGGTTCTCCTTGAAGCTGACGCTGGGCTCGGCAACCTGCTCCTCCGGCTTGGGCTTGTTGGCCTCCTCCTCAGCCAATTCGATGGGGTGCTTAATGTCAAAAGTCTCCTTGCGGAGCTGCTCAGCATCTTCTTCGGAGTGACCAATGTAGATGTTGTCGAAGAGAATGTCATTCTGCATAGTCCAGATCTCGAAACCAATCTGTCTCACGAATTAGTCAGGCTGTTCACGCAACAGCCGAGGTGATTGGGGATAACTCACAGCGCCCATGGGCTCGAAGTTGGAAGGAGTCTTATCCTCGAAGTAGGCGGGGTTGGCAATCTTGCGGGGGGCCCAGGGACCCTTGTAGGCGGGGTTGTCGACCAGGGGAGCAGTCCACTTGCCCTTGTAGGCGGGGTTCTTGATCAGGGGAGCAGTCCAGGGACCACAGCCAGCAGCCTCCTGGCACTTGGGGTTGGGAACAGTGGGAGGAACCCAGTCGCCATCCTCCTCATCGTCCCAGTCCTCGGGTTTCTCGGCCTCGGGATCAGGGATGCTGGTGGGCTCATCCTCCAGCCAATCCTCGGGCTTCTCGGCATCCTCATCGACAATCTCATAAGGAGCGTCCTCATCCCAATCCTCGGGCTTGGTGGCCTCGGGGTCAGCGATCTTGGACTCGTCGACCCAGTCGGCGGGCTTCTTGTCCTTGGGGTCATCAATCTCCTTCTCGGGGTTGACAGCAGGGCTGAAGTCCTCGAGCAAGTTACCGCTCTTGGCCTCCTCGCCGTCAATCAGGATGGAGAAAGTCTGATCGGGGCGGACAATCAGAGTGTACAAGGAGGTGACCTTGTTGGTACGAGCGGCAGGAGGAGCCTTCAGGTGCTTTTCCTCGTACTCGCCGGTCTTGGGGTTCTTGTGACGGAAGATGAAGTGCACCTGGAAGATAATTAGTTGCTGCTATACACGCCGTTTGTTTACAGAAGGCCAACGTACCTTGTTGGTGGCACCGCACTTGTCGGGACCGAACATGATAACGTAAGGAGAGGCGTTGGAGAACTCCTCGGACTGGAGCTTCTTGTTGTCCTGGAGAAGCTTCAGGTAGGCACCACCACAAACCAGGGAGTCTAAAAGCGAATGGTCAGCAACCCTTCGAGTTGGTCATACCATATGCGATGAACAGGACGTACTTTGCGGCTTGACCTCATACTGGACAACCAGGGTCTTGTCCTTGTTGTCGATCTTCTTGGGGAACTTGGAGGAGATGGCGTGGTGGGCAGCAACATTCTTAACAACAAGACCCTTGTCTCCCTCAATTCCCTTCAGCACAGTCGGCTCTTCGACAGACCATTCACCAACATAGGCCCAGTCCTCCTCAGACTTGGAGTCATCCTTCTTGGCGTGGGAAGGAGTCCACCGGCTGTCCCAGTCATCGGTGAACTGCTCCAAGAAAGGAGCTTTGAGCGTGGTAGGCTATTGGTGCGGAGTCAGCATTATGCAACTGTGGTCAGAAAGAACCGGACGAGATCAGCATACGGTGAAAGTAGGCTTCTCCGCAATGGAGGTAGTCTCGGGCTTCTTCTCGGTCTCGTCAGCATGAGCCATGCCCATGATGGAGGCCGAGGAAACCAGGGCGGAAGTCAAGGCAGCGTTGAAACGCATTGTGAATGGGGATTGGCGCTCTGGAGACTAGAACACCCGGGAGAGTCTCGAGTAGGGAAGGATGAAAACAAACACGAGCGCACCCGCGAATTAACGTCGATAGGCCGGATGAGTGTAGGAGAAGATCCCAAAGGAAATCGCGATACAATGGGAGCGACAAGCAGGGATGGGGAGGGTGGGAGGTGGAGGGTATGTAAAGACAGAAGAATGGGGGAAAATGGGGAAATGGAAGGGGAGAGGAGCAGCTGGAAGGTTGGTTATATAAGAAGCTGCATGAAGCTGGGAAGTTCCAGGTGGCCTCTTCCTCTCTCTTCCGCGGCCGCTGCTTCTTTGGGGCCCGCGGGTAAGGTCCCGCCTGCCCGATTTGGTTTAGCCAGCCTGCCACAGAATTACGCCGTCTTAGCGCGTATTTGCTCTGTTTCGGTACTGTCACTGGGGTAATTGCGAAGAAACACTGCTCGTGCTACCCCAGCTGTGGTGCATGACCTTTTTGATGTTCGTGCTCGCAAGATGCAAATAGATCAGGTATGGCTCTTAGCCTATCCCTCGAGAGCAAATGCGCCCTTACCATGATCAGGAAATATGCTTTGGGGGCTTCCAATCCAACCCATCATCCATCATGTACTGGCTGTCCGCCGATGACAACCAGCCGATGGCGCAAGTGTTTCTCCCCCCGCTACCTTAATTGAAATTAATGGCCGATGCTTCTCTTCCCCTCCCCGCCCAACGTCTTTTTTTTCGACCTCCTCTCTTCTCTACCTGTCACACCACAACATTTGTCGCTGTGTGACTTGAGACATACCTATTGTCGCAAGGGCATATAAGTCTCAAAACTCTCAGTCACTCACGGACACCAGACTAAAGAGGCGCTGCGATCATTTTCCAGCCGCCATCACGGACCACCGAGATCTACACTGCCAATTTGCGGAGGCTCAATCCCAACAATAATCACTATGTGCCAAGAACACGAGAACCAGAACAATGACCACCTGGTCCAATCCTCCGACCCGGAGCACCCGGCTAACCTGATTCCCGATCTCTGTCGCCGATTTTACAACTGGGGTTGGGTTACCGGTACTGGTGGTGGGGTACGGAGCTGTCGCAATCCTCGATGATTCAAAATGCGTGTGCTAATTCGGAATGTTCTGTCTAGACTTCCATCCGCCAGGGCGAACACATTTTCATTGCGCCCTCGGGTGTGCAGAAGGAGATGATGAAGTCCGAGAACATCTTCGTCCTGCAGTTCCCCACGCCCAAGTACCCCCCGTCTGAGCGCAAGTACATCCGCAAGCCTCTCAACCTGAACCCCTCCGCTTGCACTCCTCTGTTCTTGGCTGCCTTTGAACGCGGCGCCGGATGCTGCATTCACACCCACTCCCAGTGGGCCGTCCTGGTGACGCTTCTGGTCGAGCGCGAGAGGGGCCCCGATGCCTGCTTTGAGATCAGCAACATCGAGCAGATCAAGGGTATTCCCGCTGGAAAGGGCAAGGGCTATCTGGGCTTCTTCGATACCTTGCGCATCCCCATTATCGACAACACGGCGTTCGAGGAGGATCTGACTGGTAGCTTGGAGAAGGCGATGGATGCGTACCCGGACACCTATGCCGTCCTTGTCCGTAGACACGGAATGTAAGTCATCGCGCTCGCGTATCATATGTTTGGTTGACTGGAGACTAATTGCGGCGCGTCTAGCTACGTCTGGGGTGACACCGTTGCCAAGGCGAAGACTCAGTGTGAGAGCTTGGACTATTTGTTCCAGCTTGCTGTGGAAATGCACAAGCTTGGTCTTCCCTGGGTGAAATAGGAGTCTCGTTTGTTAGTAGCATAGCCATGATGACGGAGCGGAGTTTATATATATGGGATAAATGCGTGGTCAAAGTTGATTATGGAAGGGAGGGATTCACACACGAGTTCTCATGCAATGACGAGTGTATGCCAATCGCACAGCATATTTTTGTAGTACAGAGTAGACACAGCCAATCCTTTCGTACATGAAACCTACTTCATGTCATACTTATATAGTACTGTAAACAGCTTGCTGGATGGGAAGTCTTGGCGGGGGAAGCCTAAACCATTCGGAGTTGGCGCGGGATCCTCAGGCTCGTCAAGGCGGCCCGCCCTGTCGACTGACTGACTGACTGAATTGCTCCCCGTCATCGCCAATCACTCCTTCATCCCGCGGTTCCTCCTTCACCCCCTCCCCCTTCACCTCCGTCCCTCCAAACTTGACTTCCTTGCTATTTTGACGCCACTTCCCCAATTCCATACTCCGTACTCGAATCATTCTCGCATCTCTATTCCTTTTCAATCCTAATTCATGGATCTCGACGCAGGAGATTCCCCGTGGGGCGGTAAGCAAGACATCAGGCAGTCACGGATACAATCGCAATCGTGTCTCCTCTAATGCACCGCATGCAGACGTCCCATCTCAGTCGCCCCCCGCCCATACCGCTCCCGAAAATGACACTCAAGAGACAAGTACGTCATCTCATATCTCCTTAACTGCTGCCTGTGCAATCTAACCGGCATTGACACAGCTCCCGACCAACCGACACAGCCAGCTAGCTCCAACAATGCTTCGCGTTCTCCCGTCCGAAGAGGCCTCAGAGGCACCCGCCGGATCAATGCGCAGGCGACCAAGTTAGAAGCCGTCGACGATTCTTTCGACCCCCTCGGCCCGCTTGGAGACAAGGCCACGGAGAGCAGCCCCAACGAACAGGCACCGACTCCACCGCAAAAGGAGGCATTCGGCGCGCGCGGCGTGCGTCCGACTTCCTCGGCATCGCAGGCGTCCAGCAGTGCGGCGCTGGGAGAGTCTGTCAACCTTGAAGAGGATGGCGCGGGATTCCGAGGCCCTCCGCCGGTCCAGCCCCCGAGTGACGCGGAGGGATCGAAGCGACAGTCCGAACCCAGCATCAGCGTCGAGAAGGCCGCAAATCCGACCTTCGACATTACTGTTGGCGACCCGCACAAAGTTGGAGATCTCACGAGCAGTCATATCGTGTATCAAGTCAGGACGAAGGTATGGATGTCGCTGTCGGGCTACGAACTAGTCGGTCACTTTGGTTGAGAGGACGCTAACGCTCGGTTCCAGACGACCTCTAAAGCCTACCGACAACCGGAATTCACGGTCAGCCGGCGATACCGCGATTTCTTGTGGCTCTACAACTCCATGCACAACAACAACCCTGGTGTCGTTGTTCCTCCGCCCCCGGAGAAGCAAGCAGTGGGTCGGTTCGATACGAACTTCGTCGAGTCTCGAAGAGCTGCCCTGGAGCGCATGTTGAACAAGATTGCGACGCATCCCATCCTTCAACATGACGGTGACCTGAAGATTTTCCTGGAGAGCGACACGTTCAACCTTGATGTGAAAAACAAGGAAAACCGGGAACCTGATCTCGGGCAAAGCAAGGGCATGTTCAGTTCTTTCGGGATTAATGTTGGTGGAGGTGGGAAGTTTGTTGAACATGACGATGTAAGCGGCATCTCAAGGCCACATAGAACTCTTGACTGACACATCTGCAGTGGTTCCATGACCGCAAGATCTATCTTGATGCCCTGGAGAATCAGCTGAAGGCGTTGCTGAAGTCTGTCGACTCCGTGGTGGCTCAGCGGAAGGGATTGGCCGAAGCAGCCGGTGATTTCTCCGCATCAATTCACGCCTTGGCTGCTGTCGAGCTCTCTCCTGCACTGTCGGCCCCCTTGGAGGGTCTTTCCGACCTTCAGCTGCGCATCAAGGAGTTGTATGAGCGTCAAGCACAGCAGGATGTTCTCACCCTCGGAATCACCATCGACGAGTACCTGCGCCTGATTGGCAGTGTCAAGACAGCGTTCACTCAACGACAAAAGGCATTCCACAGCTGGCATGCGGCCGAGGCTGAATTGCAGAAACGCAAGCACACCCAGGAGAAACTGCTCAGGCAAGGAAAGACTCAACAGGATCGCCTCACGCAAGTCAATGCCGACGTGGCCGATGCTGAACGGAAATCCCACCAGGCACGATTGTTGTTCGAGGATATGGGCCGGTTGATGCGGAATGAACTCCAGCGGTTCGAGAAGGAGAAGGTGGAGGACTTCAAATCTGGTGTCGAGACATTCTTGGAGAGCGCCGTCGAAGCCCAGAAGGAGGTATGTGTTTCAGCTTCAATCCTCAAAATACCATACACTGACCGATGCAGTTGATCGAATTATGGGAAACCTTCCTGATGCAGCTCGACGCGGGAGAAGAGGGCAATTTGCTGTATGGTGCACCCGGGGCAGGCGATGCTCCAGCCGAATCAGTTCCGGAGACAGCTCCAGCCGAAGCAGCGGAAGAGGCTTAAGTGATATCCCGTTCTTTCTCACCTCTGTATAAGATAACCCGCCACGACTCGCTGACGGCTCCCCAAATGTCATTGTCGTTATACTCCCTTGTGTCGCATTTGCAATCCCTTGGTGCGGCGCACAGTTGTTCGTATCCGGCGAGTCCTTGACAAGTACGCAACCCAGATAACTGTTTAGCAGCGCATTTAAGCCCTTACGTTTTCCACCTCATGTAGTCTAATCCAACTGCCACATTTGAAGCAAACAAACGAGAAAACAAAACTCCATTCAAATGGGTGCGTGGTATGGCGACGATGTGTGTGTATACTGTACATAAAAAACAACCTTGGGAAAAAGCGATCCCACAACAACAATCCTAGAGAAACCCCCCATCTTTCAATCCGTCACATAGTACAAACCGAAATGGAAGGCGAAGAATAAGAAAACCAGGCCAGAGGCCAACAATCACCCTCGCCTCGCCTCGCCTCGCCGCTCCGTCTCGTTTCGCTTTGCTTTGAACTCCCTCACCAACCGACCGACCAAAGACGAAAAACAATCACCACTTCTTCTTCTTCTCCGAAGGACCGGCCTCCTGCTGCCCGAACGAGCTGATCAAATCCAACAGGTTGTCGTCCTCCTCCTCGGCCTCCGCCTGAGCCGCCTGAGCCGCCTCGGCCTCCGCCTTCTTGTCGGCCTCGCTCACCGCAGCGACGGCGTTGGTGTCGAACCCGCGACCGAACTTGGCACGGAAAGCGGCCAGGCGCCCGGCCTCGTCCTTCTCCAGGCTGGCCAGCCGGCTGGACGAGGGGTTCCACATGACGGAGTTGCGCGTGTCGCGGGTGGAGCGGTAGATGGGGAGCGGGGAGGAGGTACGGTGCGTGAAGGTGCTGCCGTCGGACATGGTGATCAGCTGCGTGAACTGGTAGGGCCGCTTGGGGCGGCGCAGGAGCGTGGCATGGCGGCACTGCGAGCAGATGAAGGTCGTCGAGGGTTGGAGTCGGGCCGTCGTGGCCGTGACCGTGCTGCGGCGGAGGGGGGTGGTGAAGGACATTTTACTTGATGGGGAGATTGGAGATGGAGTTCGGGGGGTCTTGGTCTCGGGACCTGAACCTGGACCTGGAGGGAAAGAAAGCGAGAGAAGAGGGAGTGATGATATGTGTAAGGTTGGTATATGTGGAAATGCGATTTGGATTGCGGTCAATTCGGGGACGGGAACGGACTTCGCTTTTCTCTCTTTCTTCTTTTTCCCGAGCTGGGGAAATTTGGATGCGCGCGGATCCGGTAGGCGGTCAGATTGCACCGGGCGCCCTTTTTTCTTTCCTGACAATCGGCTTCGGCGAACCTCCGGAGGTCATTCTAACTAACTTTCCTTGGATAACTGCATAAACATTCAGGATGATATTGGAGGGGCTATCATTCGCGCATTGTTCTTGATTTACTGCTACAAACTTGAGTATAAAGCTCCTCAAACTATTCATTTCTCCCGTCATCGCTAGAAACCCTGACTTTTAATTCAACCAATTCACCCGAATATGCCTCCATACTCTCGACCCATGCTTGCAGCAGGCCGGACTGCAGCAAGCTCCAGCTTGCTCAGAGGTACACCCCAACACCCTTGAACAGCCCCAATCGCATTTCCACTAACCCATTCCCTACAGTCCTCACCCCTGTATTACGACTATATGCAATCCCTACTACACCCACCACCACCACCACCACCACCACCACCGACACCACCACCACCACCACCACCACCACCTCCGCAAACCCAACGTCCCACATCATCACCACGAGCAAACGAACCCTCACCACCTCCCGCGCAACCCACCAAGAACAACAAGAACAACAAACCGAAGAAGCCCAACCCTCCCAAACCCCCTCACCCACTCAACCCACCCACCAACAAGACCTCTCCACGCAAATCCGCCTCCTAATGCGCCAAGTCCCCTACCCCGTCGCCATCATCACCTCCACCGACCCGCACGCCCACGCCCACACCTCCGCATCAGCATCGCATCCCTCCCCCTTCCGCGGCATGACCGTCTCCTCTTTCAACACAGTAACCCTACACCCAACCCCAATCATCTCCTTCAACGTGCGCCGCCCCTCCGAGACCCTCACCGCCCTCCAATCCTCCGGCCGCTTCCTCGTGCACCTCCTCGCCCCGCATGCGCGCACCGCCGCCCTCGCCCGGGACTTCTCGCGCGGCAACCGTCGCCTAGGGATTTCTTGGGGTGCCGACGGGACCACCACTGCCACCGAGGGCGGAGGCGAGGACGGGTCGGGGACAGCCGGGTATGAATTCGCGGCTCTGCCGCCTCTAGCGCTGGAAAGCGAGGGGCACACCAACACCAAACCCGAATACGTACAGCCCCCTCCTCTTCCGTTATTACGGCGCAGGAATCACCCATCTACCGGAAGTGCACACCCGAGAAAGGAGGAGGTGGACGATTTTCCCTTTGTGTTCGAGTGTCGGTTGCTGCCGCAGTCGATTCAGGTGCAGGATCACACGATTGTGGTGGCGAGGGTGGTGCGGGCGATTACACCACAGAAAGATGCGACGACGATAGACCACCGTGTCCAGCAAGACGCGAAGGATCTATGTTTGACGTATGCGGATACGCGGTTTTGGGAAATGGGGAGGGAGATTTGAAGACATATCCTTTCGTGGTGTATTGGTTGGGACATGGATTTGTATGTCAGGCTTGTTGGATATAGGGCTTGCGATCGTGGGGTTTGGGACTAGTCGGGTTGTGTGTGGAGTTGGAATAGAGTGGCAGTGGGAGTAGGAGTGTACTGTACTTATCTATACCCTTGTTGATTGATTCATTGGGGGGTGGTTATATAGAGATTTTCGAGTCACGGAAATATATATCAGATGACATAGAGGTTGAATGGTTTTTGGCTCAGGGTGCATGCACTCTAGTTGGCTACTCGGCTAGACAGGCTCGTTGATTACTGCACTACATGATCTACGGCATTAGTCGGATGCACAGAACGCAAGTTCTTCAAGTTCATAGATCTTTAGCCACGATTACTACAAGCAGACTCCATGCAACAAGCTTCTTTTATCGCAATGGAGGAAGTTTAGACTCTACTCAATGACACGGTTTTATTTGTTCATAGGCTTGCGATAAGAATCAGATCAACAAGCATCACAGCTCCCGGCTCAACCAACCCTGTCGGTCCACCAAACCCGAAGACATGCGATCACCCACACAACCTGGAGCATCACGTATGAAGATCAACAAACACGGAAAGGAACGCAACGAGTTTTGAGAGCAAGGGTGTCCCGGAGCGAGAAGCCCCCGTCCAGTCCTGATCTCAAGATCCTAGTTGCCCTTGCCAGTCGAGCTGGGACTACCACTGCCGCTGCCACTACTGCCACTACCGCCGCTTCCACTGCCACTGCCCCGGCTGCCGGCCCGCTGAAACGGGCTCGCAATGGGTCGGACACCCGCACTTTGAGCGTTTCCATCTGAGCCAGAGATACTCCGCTTGTCTGCAACCGAATCAGACAAATCGAACTGATAAGGAGGTCGACGGCTGTGGGTGTCCACAAAATCAGATCCATACAGACTGCTTCGTGCAGATCGATTGGAGAACGAGCGGTCCCGTGTAGCGAAATCAGCATCGAAGTAGGTAGCGCTATGGCCGATCGGAGATGTCGGGAAGTGCGCAAGGTAAGAGGGAGCCTGAACCGGGCTGGCCGGGTGAGACAAGGAATCACCGATAGGGGACGACGTCTGCTGAAGAGGGCTGGATTTCAAGGCGGAAAAACTCAGTCCCAAGATTGATCGGGTGGTGGGAGCAGCCGTCAACGCGGCGAGGGACAGACTGGGTGCATCGGTGAGGGGGTTCGTGCCGGGCAGATTTCCTTCCGGCGTGAGCGGGGCGGGATCCAGGAGCATCTGCTGCTGTTGCTGCTGCTGAATGGCTTGTTCAATAGCGGCAGCTTGCTGCCAGAGTTGATTGGTGCGCAACTGATACTCCTGCACAGACTGACCGATGCTGGAAAATTGCTCGTTGAAGCTGACCTCCAGCTTGGCTTGATCCTGTTCCCTCGCAAATTGTTCCGCGGCACGACGCTCCCTCTCGTTGAGACCCTGTGCGTTAGCGGAGACAATGCGCTCATACTGTTCGTTGACGCGAGTCCGGCGGCCTTGAAGACGTTCTTTCCTCTGAACAGTGGAATTCAATTCACTTTCCAAAGATGACACCTCACGGGAGATTGCAGTTCGAGCAGCAACGAGTTCCTCCTTGACCAGGTTGAGCTGTTCCAACTCTTGGTCAAATTTGGCCTTCTGGCTTGTCCATTCCTCGAGTTCCTCCTCCGGGATGTTCTGCAAGGTGTCCAACTGGCTTTCGAGTGCGGCGGTGGCCTCCTCGGTTTGCTTGATATTCCTTTCGAGCTGTAGCGAGCGCTGCTTCTGTCGGTTTTCATCCGTACCGCTCTGAAGCCGGTGATTGAAGTTTTCCAACTCTTTCCGAATTTTCGAGATTGCGAGCTTGTGATCATTTTTGGCCTTTCTTAGCCGAGAGCGTTTCTCATTCAGCTTGACCTCGGCGTTGACAATGGAATTCTTGAGTGTCGTAGTCGGGGAAGACGGACGATACGTTGGCTGCGGAGGAACTGATACCGAAGATACTATAAGTGGCGTTAGTGAGATTGAAATCTATTGCAGAGAGGGCTTCGTGTTACCTTGCTCTGCGTCATTTGCGGCGGGGGTCTTGACGCTCATGACACAGATTTCCTCGTCAGTATCGCTCCGCATGAAGGAGCAGGTGTAGGCGCAGTTCGGCGCGAGACCCGAAATCTCGCCTCGCCAATGCACCGTGTGTGAGCCCTTAGTCGAGTCCTGTACTTTGTTGATCACTGCGGTCGCCCACAGTGCACCGTTAACACAGACGTAGAATGGCTCCGTTTCTTCCCCGCCAAGACGTCCCGCTTCGCAAGCTCCCGAAACTGAAGGATCATCGGGCGAAGCAAGATCGCCCGCTGCAAATTTGATGGTAGAGCTATCAATCTCGGTTATCCAAACAAGCCCGTCATCCAGAGACGCTCCTTGTAAATCCTCCTCCGTCAGTGCGAGACCTCTGCCGGTTTTCGATAAAGCCCTAGAATGCTCATATTCCCTCATTACCGTCACTTTCGTGCTTGCGAGTGCGGCCCAGAAAGGCTGACGATTCCGAACCTGGTTCGCCTGCCTCCTGCGTTTCTTGGCCGAAATCAGTCTATCACGACCGTCCTTAAGAGTGGCGGGCGTAACAATCTGACCATCGGCACCGATATAGGAAGAGACACTGGCGCCAGACTCGAATGCAGAATCGATTTGTGTTTGCGAGCCGGCGGACGCTTCGGTATCCACGCGCTTGCCGTTCCGAGGGGGGACCGGGGACCGATTCTTAGCCATCGACCGTCTCGCCATGGCAGTACCAGCTTGAGCCAATATATGCACCGCAAGTAGACTTCGAATCCAGCTCGGAGAGCTTTGCGGTTCGGTGCGTCGAAATTCGGTGGGCATAAGGTGGGAATACTGCGAGAGAAGATCGGGGCTGACGATTTTGGATGAGAGCAGATGACCTATAACAAAATCCTGTATACCTTTACTGCGGATAAGATGTAATACGAGGACGATGCCAACACAGAGCGCATTGACCCCTCCATTTTTTCCAGAGCCTCCGCCGCCAAGGGTGATGGCGACTTGCACGTGAGCGAGATCTAAGGCGAAATTCTGCGCCCAGGTCCACATGAAGAGGCCCCAGAACAACAGGCAGAACCCGTCCATCGCAATCATTGTACCCAGCGATGGTGTTCCGGCGGGACCCTGGAAGATGTCGAAGTTGGAGGTCAGGGAGCCGGAAGACGCGCCACCGGGCGGCATGAAGGTCAAAGAAGCGAACAAGAATTGGACCAGAGTGAGAACCATAGGCGGAAGTTGAAGCAGAAAGATCAATATTGCGATCGTGTCGTACATCGGACAAGACTTGAGGATCGTAGACGCCAGTTGGAGTGGATTAATCGAAGCACTGGAGGCCGACCTTTTGGTGCCGGTCACCGACTTGTCCGTCCGACGCGACGCCTGGGCTGCGAGTCCGCCATTCTGCGGCGCCGCACCATTCGTCTGACCGTATGACATGTCCGCGCTGCCTTTTGCGTATCCATTCAGTTGACCTCGTCCGTTACCCTCCGCCTTGGAAGAATCAGCGTTTCCGTTCACCTTGCTTGTCGATGCGGCGGTTGAGGTTAGAGCCGAGTCGCTGGATGAGCGCGACGGTTGCCAGTCGACCTGAGTGGAAGGGCCAGAAGTCGGATTCGAGGCGCTGGCGGAGGTCCCATTCAGATTTCCATTCGACTTTTGCTTGTTCACTTTCTTTCCGGGACCGACAAGACCGTTCTCATTTCGATTGCTATGACTCTTCCTAGCCGTAGCCGATGAACGTGGCATGGACAAGGGAGCCTAAGTACCTAGGTCCGAGTCAGCTTGGCAAGAGGGAGCCAAGGACTTGGACCAGGCGAGAATTGAAGACGAAGACAGCGTCGGAAAAGGGTCCGGGAAGGGGAGGGGAGTTCGGTAAAAGAAACGGGAGTGCGGGAGATGGTGAGCAGAGATGATGTTTGACTTTCGGGGGAGGGGAATGAAGAGATAGAGAAAGGGAGAGAAGGGTTTCAATACAAAGAAGCGTGCGGGAAGGAAAAAAAGGAATGACAGGGAAAGGATAAGAGAGGAAGTGGACGGGAATGGGATGGAGCCAGAACTAAGATGAGAAAGGAAAGGAAAGAAGAAACGGGATTGGATCAGAATTGGGTAGAGGGTAGAGGGGGGTGGATGAGTGAGAAAGTGGGTTTGGAGAAGAAGAACAAGTAAGGAAGAGAAGAGAAGAGACAGAGACAGACAGAGAGAGAGAGAGGAAAGGGTGGCGCGGGGGGGGGGTAAAGTGGAGGGGGAAAAGAGGTGGAAGAAGGTAAGAAATTGAGAGTGAGAGTGAGAGTAAGAGAGAGAGAGAGGAAAGGAAAATTGAAGGTTACTGAGGTTTGGTTAGAGACTTTTGGGTTTCTGGATAGACGAAGCGGCGGGAAAAAGACCAGGCAAAAGCTTGGAACGGATCGTCAGAGGGCCGAGAAAAAAAGAAGGGTCGTCTCAGGCAGAAACACCAGGAGCACCTCAGGCATCAAAACCCTCCGTTGTATCGAGAATCACATGTTACCTGACATTACAGTACGTGGCTCGCACTGCGCCGGATTCCGGTTGGCTGATGGGAATGGGCCGATGCAGGACGGAGGCATTCAGCTGTCGACTTTCTTGGGTCTACCACCAACAACTATTAAATTCACCTACCTCAGACAACAAGCTATGTGGCTTGTACTTCTTGTACTTCTTCACCTCTACTATCTCGAAGCACTTTCAAAAAGGACAAAGATCTATACATAGTTACATACCCGCTGACACAATACCAGAGATTGACACCCGAAGCAATTGGTTGTCTGACGGCTCTATGCAGGAGAAACTAGACACCTGGCTCTTCAGCCACAATTGCGTCCCCCCCCCTCCCCCCCATCCAAGCTGGTACCGATTCAAACGGACTCTCTCTGTTCTCAAGGCTGAGACCAAAATCGCTTCTATCCGAAACAGTTTCTGTCAGTCCCTCCGGCAGGTTGAAGGACAATCAAAAAACGCTCAATCCCGATCTTCAACGGGCCGCTCACCCGCCTAGCTGAACTACTGTACATACATGCTGCCTCTACCCACTACTGCACCAACATATGAGTACAGTACAGTACAATACAACACCATGATGGCATCACTGGCAGCGTCCCAGTATCTCTCACATGAACAGTACATCAGAATTCGTTTTCTCCCGGCCAACATGATTAGCGGGGTCTGAAACTCAGCCTCTATGGACGGACCGACCATAAGACGAAACAGGCTCGTGAGCCTACGTGTTCACCCCGGCCTGGTTGCAATCAAGCTATCTTTATAGGCCTGCGAAAGACATTGTTGCTCACCTTCTCACTCTTTACCCCTCCTTCACGCGCGTTCGCCCACTGGTTGTGTCTTATGCTCTTGGCTTTTGACATGACCGGGGTTGATGCGCTTGGTCCAGCGTTAGGGCACAACTAGGCTGGCCGATCTGGCGATCCCATCCCACGTAGGCTCTTTCTGTGAGGAGACGGGGGAAAGGGCTGTGTGATCCTCGAAGAGTACGAGGTAATGACAACAGACGCTCAATTCTAAGCCGCAGTTGGGCTACATGCAGTTGAAACTCTCCCCCTCGCATTATTTGGTCATTCCGTCAACTTACAGTCGACAAACAGATAACAAACGCATAACCGAGGATACGAGGGAAGAAGATCTTCGCCAGACACACGACCTTACTATATGTTTCAAGTCTAGATAAGCGTCTTTAAGTTCTAGCACTGGTCTTATCGGGCTAGGGTCAGTGACAAGTCAGTTGACACTCGCTTGATCGCGCCACCAGTGCATCCGTATTTGTAATGACAGTATACTTTGGAAGTTCACCTATGAATCCAGAAGGCCTAGGCAGTGAGAGATTATTCGGGGACGTCAAGAATGCTTGCGAGGTCGTCGCAGCTGTTTGATTGTACGATCCTTGAGGTAGCCTGCGGTTGTCCAAAGCTGTCAAGTATGGAGGGCTCGATACCTTGGAGAGAGAGAGCTGTCTGACGAAACCGGTACCATACCTGCAGTTACGGTATTTTATCATCGACCGACCGCCTGTCGGATAACATCATCTAACATCATGGTCTGTCTCTTCAGCACCTCCCACTTCAGGGCCGTCGGAACGAAAGGCGACATCGCTGTCCAATCTGCATTGTCCAATGGGCCAGCAAGCTCATGCTCTTGTCTAGGGTAAATGTGGAATCCAGGGTAAATGGGTTTGTTTAGAGACAGGGGCAGGGAAGATACAATCCCTGCGAAGGGGATCGACCGGCCATGTCCCCGAACGGGCAAATTGCGTCCAGCTCACTTTGGACTTGGCCCAGCGGTCGAATGCGACCCCGCAAGTCTTGTCAGATGATGGATAGGCTTGGTCATCCTTGGCTCGTCGACTAGATACTGTATCTTCGTGCCCGGTATCTGTTGCTGTCAGTTGGTCCTGCTAGAGGGAACTTCAACCGCTGCACTGAGCAGGTCAACCGGTAATGTAGTTTAGCAGTAGGCAGGGTGTGGGTCGATCATCTAGAGTTTCCCTTCCCCGGCTACCTACTCATGTAGCACAAGGCAGGAAAGACTCTTATTAATCGTCCCCGGTTTTCCTCCTCCAAGCAAGGATCAAAAGAGTGCTAGGCTATGAGAAAATCCTCCTCGAAAGGGTAAAGTCGGATTGGGATATTGCGACCAACATACTCATACTACTCATAATTAGATAAGGTCCTTTCCAGGCTATCGATTCGATTCGATAAAGGCCAAGGTCCAAGCGTGAAGAAGCCAATCTGGCGATCCGAGAGCTGTAATTAGTCTTCATTGGCCGCCTGGCAGAATAGAGCCTATTATACTGGGGAATCTAAATTGTGTATGGAATCTGAGCAGAGAACAGAGTAGACCATCGCAATATCAATCAGTTACAGTTAGATTTTCGCCGGTCATGCTTGATTATGTACGGCTCAACATCTTGACCACCTGCCTGCCAGATGGAAGACGTACCCCAGTCCAACTTGCTGTACGTATGATACGGCCATCATCCTGCAAGTTGCATCCAGTGCATACTGGAAATCTCCCACATGCAAGGGGGAGTGTACTGTACATGTACATAGGCGGCAGTTGAGTCTAGAATTCGTCCTCCTGGACCACATCGAGACATTATTCATTTCTACCTGGGGTGTCGATTAGATACAGTATGTGCATGAAAGTCGTTCCTCTCGCAAGAACCCAGCAAACGATGGAGATGCTGCCGCCCTATACTCGTCGCTAGCTGAAGCCCGCAGCACAGTACAGTACCATAGGACTTCCCCGGATGGAGATAACGATACGGTAAACCTTCGCACCAAGCCTCCGGTTCCCTCGTGGCTAATTCCACCTACCCTCCATATAAATCCATCATCGTGTATCAGATGCTGATATGCCAGAACAACAGCAACTAAGGTCATCTCGGTCCGGACGGGGACCGGCATGATCGCTATACTTCATCGATACCGTACAGTAAAACTCAGCCTCGGTCCGGGCGAATCTATTTTCGGCGAGCGAGACCTCTTCACAGTTCACACTTTCACAGGCGAAAGAAAAAGAGGCCCACGCGAAGTGGAGACTTTTCCGCACTTTCCACTTTCCACCACCCTCTTAGATATGTGGCGCCGCGGCCGGACCCAGGGAAATCTCGAGCCTTCGACCTTTCTGTCTCCCAGAGTCCCAAATTTTGCCACGTACGTAGCAGTTTAGACAGACACTAGCGTGGCTCGAGAAACTAGAACTAAACCGCCAGAACTTCCAGCGGAAAAGGGCGCCGGCGATCAGCTACTACTTCCAGACGGCAAAACCCTGGTCTGCAAACTCGCACTATTTACAGCCGGGCACAACTTGCCCCTCCTCCCTGTCTCTTCCTCTTTTCCCCTCAATCAACTGAAGTGCTAGGGGGACTTGAAGCAATACGCAGAGATACGCAGAGAGAAATTTCTCTCATCGTGTCGCTTCGAATCCGCTGACAGGGTTTATCCCGGGTTTTTCCTGTGATGGGATCGATATGGGCTGATGAAGGAGAGACATTCCCCTCCAGGATATGAATATTCACCCATTGGTCAATGAGATCTGGTTTCCATCAAGCTGTCTGTCAGTGACTCACTGGGAGGAAATGCGAACTAGTCTACCTTACCAAATGCAAGCAGAAAAAAAAGAGCTCTTTTCTCGGACAAATTCTTTACAGAATACAGGGACCAATCATAAATGCTCCAGACCCTTACGGACGACCTTGCCCCCTCTTCAAGGTTCGTTCTATTTGATGTGCGGAGTCGGGACGGTTTCGTCGTCGGCTTTCTGCCGAGATTCCCTTTGAACATAATTCACACCGATTGGTAGCAGAAGTAACATAAACTTGCATTACGGAATCGTGGGTATGCATGATCTGTAGAAGAAGATTGCCATCATACAAGCGCTTGGTTCGAGGCTTCGTCGGGGCCAAAGAGATTGCTTTCGCGTGGATACTGATTATATATGGTGTATACGAGTACGAGATCAGGCCAGCATGTGTCGAGACTTGACAGAGCATCAGGGACTACTAGCCTGCTGACTGGTTAGGGCGGAGCACCGCCACACCCAATGAGAGCATATCAGCTTGAAATCATACTGGCAGGCATAGCATTGCGGCAAATCGCGACTGTTTCGGAAGATACCATACTAGTGCTATATACACAATACAGCTCCGGTGGCACAGAGCTAGTTGAGTCTGAACAATGTCTACATGTGACAGTGCAATTTCTTCTATAGCTCGCTTAGCGGCTCTATACAAAGTTATGCTCACCTGTATATGTCGGGCTGGCATTTGAGTTGGCAATCAATGCCACGCCTTCTGTCACTGGATAGCCCACCGTCCCAAAAATCTTCAATGTCTCAGTTCCACTCAATAAACCACACGGTCTGGTCCGCAAAGCCACAAGTTGGCAGGCGAGAAGTTCTTACTTCTTGGCAGATCCAGTATCCTCAACGGCATCTTCCCGATCCCAGCTCTCAACCTCCAGCGTCCGAACCCGCGCTTCGATGTCCAGAATGCGCTGTCGCCAATATTCCTTTGCCTGCTCTTGAAGCTCCCAGGTCTTCTTGAGCTGCTCAAACAGGAAAGGTGGGAGCGCGGTCTTCTTGCCCTGCTTGTAGTCATATGTGACCAGGTCCTCGTGGACGCGAGCGGCGGGTCGGAAGCGCGCCTCCGAGAGAACGATAGCCTGGAGCTGGAATGCATATGGTGATGCGTCGGCCGCCGCAGGGTCGTGGACGAGTTTGTGATATACCGTTACTTGGTCGGGGTAGGTCATCGGCTGCGCATGCACGCCCCTCGGCACTCAGTTACGTGAAATCGTTTTCAGCGTGGGGGGGTTTGGTCATACGAATTTGTAATCGATCTTGATGCTTCGCATGATCAACCCGATCCCTCGGGAGCTGACGACGTTCATCCATTCCTTTTTATGGGCCGGGTCGATGTGCATCGCGAAATTGCGGGTGAAATATACGCGCGCGGTTTCTGCGTACCGGGCGTAGGTGACGTTGTTGACATGCCCTAGAGTTCCTCGTTAGACTGTTTGGTGAACTTAGGTCGAGATCAAAGTCGGATCTCAGGTAAGAGAGATATATGTACCCTGTCGTGGTGGTTAAGAAGCTATACATAGAAGCAATTCAGTGAGAGGGGTTGGCTTACCATGCTGTCCTATTGCGCCGCAGCGACATCTCGCTGTTAGCACGGCTTCTAAACGCTTCATCGGGATGCGAAAGGTGGCCATCATACCATCTCGCCCCATGCGACAGCCTGCTTGAACAAGCCTCTTCTGGGTGCATCGGTCAGATAGCCCTCGCTACCCGCGACGAGCTCCCGCCAATCCCGCGCGATCTGTCGCAGTAATTCGCCGGATTCTTGAATCTGTGACGGCCTAAGACCGAACATCATGCAGCGACCGAGTCTACGCTTTGTCATAGTCAGCCATCGAGGATCAATGCCGTGTGGCTTCTGTGTGGTGGGCCCTGTTGCCGAAAGGGATCCCGCGGTCGACGAGGGGGCATTCTGCGGCGAAGGAGAGGCCGAGAGAGTTCGGATAGGCGTTGCGAAAGATCGAGATTGTAGGGAAAGGCATTGCCTTCTCATACTCTGTAGCTGTGCCATGGTGGTGATAAGGGGTGTAGTCAGTGACTATAGTATCGATAGGAACCGTAGATGGAGCTGTTGCTTGGAAGGTCTCGAAGCACCTCTCCAGCTGGTCGGTTAGTTCTCCGCCGGGGAGCTGTTCGGCAAACCCCACTCACTCCTCTTCCGTCTCCCCGCGGCCTTGATGGGCCGAGGCCAGTCGAGGCCACAACAACAAAGGCTTACTTTGAGAATTAATTCAATCGAATCGGTATATGGGGCCCTAGGGTCGTCTGGCTAAAGTCTATAGTATACATTCATTAATATATATGGTGAAATCTGTGTCCGTCCAGCGTACAGCATCTTATACAGCGTCATATTCAGATCGCAGAGCCGGGTTGTTTGGGATGATATGAGCTAAATTATGTATACGCTACCACCTTAAGAGTACTAGTAATACATGACCACCATTTATTTATGATGTCTGATGAGCTTATACAAGGCCTTCACAAGCTACAAAGATCATAGATTGCATCTTTCCGCAGGATTGATTGTAGGCTCGAGAAATACAAACCGACCGGGTGACGACGTCACCGGTAAAGTTCCGGCGGAAGCAAACAAATGCATTCCCACCAAGCGGCAACAACCCATCGTCACCTTCCTATCTTCCTCATCTCCTCGTCGCTATCTTCCTGTCCGAAGACTTTTCAACTGGTCAACAATCCCCACGCTGAATGAATTAATCATGACTAGCTCCGAACTCCGCTATCAAGTTATTCATATCTACAAAGGTTGGTGATATCTTCTCCCTGACATGAGTTTCGGCTGCTGTGCTTTGCAATTCCTAGCACCGTAACTAGGCCTGCGGCTGTTGACTGCTCGATTGGCAGAGCTCCTTTTCCTCGGCCGCAATTATCCTCTGGGCTACGACTACTTCCGGAACAGGCTACACAAGGCATTTAGCAGTCAGGCACATCTGGATAATGAAGAGCAGATTCGGAAAGGTATAGCACGAGCGGAGTTCGTCAAGAAGGGTGCGTTATCCCGCCTCAATTGTTTGCAATTGCAGCAGCTTCATTGAACCAATCAATAACCTTCTATCTTTCAACCGTCTAGAAATCGAGGCTCTGTAAGTACTACTGCCCATGCCTTTAATGCTCCCGTCTGCTTTGATACCTCGCCGACGAGCACTGATCCACGCTACATATCCACTTATCCCTCCCCCAAATCCGATGCGGTTGATCATAGTCTCTTGATATTTCCTATGGATGTACAGTCTCAATATATCGTTATGTCATAAACTTATAAACACATGAGTGCAATGTGAGCAGCGATACTGATGGAAGCACGCAGCTACTACCTCAAGCGGTATCGCACGTTGAAACAGCGCTATGAGAACAAATAGCACCCAACCATCGCAGCCAACACACGTCGCAGCAAAAAAATATACAGAAATGAATATTATGGCAATTTGAACCAAAAACCAAAGAGAGAAACGTGGGGGTATCACCAATATGAGAAGAGAAATGGTCACGGTTCCTTTTTTCCTTTTCCTTTCCTCTCATTCGCCTGAACACCAAACGTTGAGTTCACGATCCTGGCCGCCGGCGAAGGCGCCTATATCTTTCGACCCCACCAAGCACTTACTTCCAAGCACTCTCCGTTCGCAAGGCCATCCTTCTGGAACAAATCGGTCATCATTGCTGCCCACCAGCGATCCCATTCGTCCTTACTCTTCCCGCTGGCCTCCATAAGAATGTGCTCCATGCCTTCTATCATTTGGATGACCGTCAGAAGCGCAGTGCGTCGGATAGACAACTGATCGGCCGTCAACTGTCTTCGAGTACCACCACTCGATTCTTTTCCATACCCCTCTCGTTCCCAGCGTAGTTCGCCCAATGGAATGGCAATGCGACGGCTGTCAACCTTCTCGAGGACGTCTACCTCCGCATTGAAGGATAGGCCCATCGTGGCGCACGGTAGAGCCGTCAATTTCCGCTGATCGAACGCCTTCTCAAGCCAGGTATTGTAGTCTTGGAGAAACTTGTTCTGGGCGCGCGTGAATGGCGTGGCAGACGAAAAGGTGTACGTCGCGGTCGCATCGGCGGTCTCTTGTTCTCTCGAGGCCAGTTTGCGAGCGGGTGCGGGATTGGGCAGCAGAGAGCGGAACACCCAGTCGGAATCCCAGACTTCCAAGATCCCCCCGGACTTGAGAACGCGCAACGGCTCGCTCAATCCCGAGGCTTGCTGGGCCGGACTGGAAGGACACATACCCGCATCCTTGATGAAGACGAAATCGAAATAGTCGTCGGGAAACGGCAGGCGGGGCTTGCGTAGGTCGTGACGCTTGAATTGCCAATTCACACCCTTTTTGCGCAGATCGGGTGCGACGGAGACGATGTCAATGCCGTTGAAGGACACGGTGCGGTGGCCGCGACGGGCGAAATAATCATGGCACATGCTGGACCACAGTCCTGAGCCACAGGCGAGGTCCAAGACTCGCTTCGGGGCGCGGTCGGCCAAATGTGGGTTGCAGAACGGGCCCCCGAAAACGCGCATGAGCATGAGCGAGCGCAAGGTCTGGCGGTGTATCTCCGGAAGGTCGCAGGGAAGAGGATACTGGTTGTCGGGGTCTCTGAGATACGTGCGATCGCCATGGCGTATCAAGGGAAAGTTGGAGTAGTCATTGAGGGAGGAGAGGGAGGAGGTCGACGTCGCTGCCAGGGTTATACCGGTCGAACTGGCGGTGGAATGAAGGTCGGAGCCCGAAGCTGCGGCAGGCGCAAGGACTGCCGGTCCATTTGACATGATATCCATTTCGGCGGGTTAAGGTGGAGTGGTGGATGCTCGTCAATTGAGGGGACCTGCTAAGAACGAACGATGTGCATTCTTCCGCATACAAACAGTGGCAGCGCAGATCGGTCACGAACGGGGCAGGAGTTCGATTGAGAGGGACATGATACGTTGATGGCAACAGAAATAGAGTATGAGAAGGGCCGAAGCAAGCGAGGCTGACAGTATTAAATGTGGTGGTGGTAGTGGTGGTGAGGGAGGGGGCAGTGAGTGATGATGAATGTTACGCAGCTCGGACACCGTTCCAGGTCAATCTGACCCATGGAAGGAGAAGGTGTTCGATTAAAGGAGGGGACAACGAGAGAAAGAAACGAAAACAGTCAGGCCTAAAGGAGGGGGGGCAAAAAACCAAATCAAATCAAATCAAATAAGAAAAAAAAAATTAGAAAACCACATTGTGACAAGAAAATCGAACCGCCCCGGCTCGATGACCCCTTAGGGCCACTCCACTTGTTGCGACGCAATTTTAGTAGTTTACTTTAGTGACTTCGTAGTTGACTATCGTCGACTCCAGGCTTGGGTGCAGTGAGTGGCCCCGGAAGGCCAACGTTTCTGGAATGGACCCGGCCTGGCCTTAATTGTTTTTTTTTCTTTTTTCCTTTGACCCTCTTGACTTGCCTGTTAGCGTAGACTGAAAATGAGCAGCTATCTATTTCCCCCTCACCGTTGAAACGGCTCTTGAAGATATTGTAATCGGCGTTTAAAGTATAGCACCGAATACTCCCCGAAATGCCTCCTCGGAGACCTAGCCTGGGGAAGCAAGCGATGGTTACTAGTTAGTGGTGGTGGCGGCGGCACATCTTTGCCCTACCGCCAGTCCACGAATGAAGCCGAATCAAATCATATTTCCAACTCCAGGATGATACGAGAACAAAGTACTGTACATTTAAACAAGCAGATCTTATACTTGTCCACAAGGCATATCTATCCAGAACTGCCATACAATTATGTACTGTACTGTACTTGCAGCACGGCATCCGAGCTCCCGGAACCTTTTCCCCGCGATAGATAGATCAGGACATACCCCGATGCACTGCATAGACTGAATGCAATGCAAGAACGCGAGAGAGTGGGCATCTGATCCGTCTGATCGGAACTCAACCGTGAGAATCTCAAAGATAGAGGTACTATGCAGGAAGACTCGCTACAAGCATTGAGCCCTTTTGCTTTTTCGTGTTCGGCCTTGTTTTTCAAGATGAAGCCCCCTCCATTTCCTTACCCGGACAAAGTTGTCTCGGGAAGTCGTGCTAGTCTACTACGTTACGGTAGTCTAGTACTAACTGGAAGTTTACTTGAGGATGTCCAATTCCGGGCACGGGGTCCTTAATACGTGTTTAATTCAAACTCCCTACGCCGGTGTACGCGGGCGCCGCTTCTTTTTTCTCTTTGGAACCCATGAAATTGGGGACCGGTACTTCCGGGGATTAATGTTGAAGAAACCCAAGGTTCGAAGCGAACACGATGACCACACCCACCCAGGTGCACCACTGCACACAGAGAAGTCCAGAAAGTCTAAATGGGGTTTTCGAAGTGTGGTTTGGATCTATGTCTCACGGAGTTGTTCCTCCGTGACGAACTCCCCTACCCTGCGACGTATTTTTGCTTTTTTCTTTTTTCTTCCCGCCGAAGTGCCGGCCCCCGTTCACCTTTTTCTTTTTCTATCTTATTCCTGTCCCGGGATCATAGATCATAATACCTTATTACATTGCCATATAATTCACTGCTATTGTTACTTCAAGAAAAGTGGCTGCTTGGACATGGGTATCTAGCTCGTGGCTGAGTGTCTATACTCCGACCGTAGGAGGAGGACGAGGCAGTGTCTTTCGCCCTCTCCGCGTATAGTATCTGCACGTCGAGGGAAAGAAAGAGAAGAGGTATCGGGGCAGCTGTCAAGTTTACCGACGATGATAATAATATAATCAATCATAAAAATAGTGTATGTCACTGCAAGTCTGACATCATGACACCCGACTCGTCCGTTGTTTCCCCCTTCCCTGGGTTCTTGTGTGTGGATCTTCTTGTATGAAAACCCGAAATGAAGAGAAATGAAGAATTCCCCCGGGACGGGGAGGCGATGGGCGCCGCGGCACGGCGGACGGCGGCGGGAGATGCGTTGACCCATCACCATGGTTCTGCTTGTCCGATCGTTGGCGATGTCAATCGGTATGGGCTTTATGCCGAGCTTCATTTATCCCCAAGGACCAGGACCTTGAGAGAGGGATCGCATAGTTGCGTCTATCAAGGAAGACGGCCTTCCAAAGGGCAGGCAAGTGGCAGTCTAGATCGTGGCCTGGGCAAATGATCTCCCATGCTGAGTTGACTGACTCAATTGTCAAGATGGATTTTCATTACTCACTTGAAACCTCTTGGGTCGAACGCCCCGCCAGGCTGGGTGGTTCTAGAGACCGAAGTTCACCTAGGCTATGTGCATTGCCGGCCCCCCGAGGACAAGGAATGGGGGCCACTGACACGTGCCGGCACGGGTCACTTGTTGCCCTGACGGGGAGGGACGGGGAGGTACCACTGCCTGGGTACCGACTTCAGGGTCGGTCACTTAACTACTAGTTGAGAGGAATTGTTTCAGAGCAGGCTGACCCTGGATTGTGCCCTGCTGCCTTGTCTGTTGTCTTCTTCTTCGCCCCCCTTGCATTTTAAAAGTGGTGGGGGTAGGCTGAAAATGCTTAGATTGTCTCTGCATGTGTATATCTGTGCATCTGTGTGCAGTACTGCTGCTATGGCTGTGCTTTCGTGGATTATATGTGGCTGCTTATTTGACGGCGGGGGTGGAGCAGAATTGAGTAATGGGAGTTTTGTACCTATTACCTAGTAGTGTTTAAATGGCTTGCCCCAGCTCATAGTTGAGTACTTTTGTGTCTTGCATGAGGCTGCTAATGACAATCCCGTATGATCCTGGTCGTGTAGCTTGACGTCTTGCATGTCAAGGTAAGCTGAACGGGGGCCTGGCTTATAATTAGTCTAGGATCATACTCAGTATACTCACAGTGGCCGATTGTCAGGTCCATCGTAGATGGATACAAATGAGGCTCTAGAAAAAGCTTGAACGCATTCAGGGTGTCCTATAGAGGAACTCTCCTCGGTCTTGGATCTTGACTCCAGCGATCTCGCCCGAGCTGCTTCGGTTGCTTCTTCAAATAGACCTCATGAACCACCCTTTTAAATCTCAGTGCAGACAAAACATGAAGTTGTGCTATCCAATTGGCAGACTTGACTTATCAAAACTGAATTGTCGGAATTAGATCATTGGAATTCAATTATCAGACTTGATCTTCCAGAATCGAATTATCAGATAATGTCCTGAGTTGAGTATACTTTTAGGGCGTATATAGCTATAGGGACATAAGAAGTAGTAAACTGTTTAGTGTTGACATAAACACTGAGTTAATACAGTTTCAAGCTAGAGACTGGCTTCAATCGATGTCAAGACAGTCTGAATCGACTGTTGTAACAGGGGCCGAGTTGGCAAGAAATGTAAACAGCTCAGCTTCAACTGTGTACAGTCTCCTCTGAGCAAGATCGAGATCGAAGTGCCACCTAATTCTGACAGCTCAAGTAAGCTCACTGTGAATGTTGACTCGAGCACTCTAGCTGAGCCTGGCTGAGTCCGCCGGTAGAAACCATCAGTTAGTGGCAGTGGCCA